ACTCAAGTATTACCCGAACAAGGTCGGCAAAATCCCTAAAACCTTGTTCGCATATGGGGCTACATGTGCTCCGTATTCTTCTGCTCAGGGCTGGCTTAGAGTCAAACCCAGGGCCGGAAAGCTACATCTGCGATGTATGCCAGAGACGATTGCATTCTAACTCCACCTCGGTCAGGTACAATACAACTGCAACGGGTGGAGCCACCGGACCGTCTCCACGGCACACCGAAGTTCGCCCGAGCAAAACAACACCAAAACAACTACACCCGTCAAGGAGCATAACACAAGGCTCTGCAGCAGTTCCTAGTAGGTCAAGGCACGTAAGGAGGCATCTATACGAACTCACGAACGAAGTCCAAAGGTTCATAAAACTACCCCTGGACCCAACTGCATACCGATAGGCCCTAAACGGGGTCTCGAGCTACAAACACTCGATGTGAACGAGACAGAGCCTTGTCTGCTGGGAGATTCGCACCACAAAAGCCCTACTTCGCTCTGGCTACTGCAGCAGGCTTAACTCGTACCTGTGTAGAGTGAACGCGGATATGCTCGGCATGCGGAGAGTCGCCACATGACTCATGGCACCTCTTCGCATGCCATCAAAACCCATCCAGCTAATAACGCTACTTTTCTTATACGTTCTAATATATTGTACATATGAGCAAAAAAGTAGCATATACATATCGTTACCTTAATTCACAAAGGCCATAACCAACAAAATTTTGATTTTACAGAAGCAAAAACCATTATAAAATGGGAATCAAAAACCGGCATTGCTTTTTAAAAAGTGGCACGTTACTCTGTTGTTGTGGGTAATAACATATTTTTTAATGAACGTGAATTTTAATACAGCCTACCAAAATCTGTGAAAAACGCAGTTTCGAAAAAGGGTTTCGTTAGGGCCTTTGTGAACGATATGCAAATACATGCCGTGTAAGAGAGCTGTAAGGCCCCTCCTGCCCCTATGGACAGACCCGGTGGAAGTTGCCAACTTCCTGGGCCTTCCTATAGCTGAACCTGACGCTAAAGCTGATGGACAAGCCGAGAAATTTTGTACCCTTTAAGACAATACGACGCCTAACACGACTTATGAATCTCCTCACTATATTTGTGGAATTTAAAAGTAAGTTCTTAAAATCTTAAGTATAAAAGATTTTCTTTTTCCTACTTACGACAAAATGAACATAGATAGCTCTTTTTCTCCTTTTGACCATCTGAATTTTTATGCGCTTTTCTTCTAGACGGTTTTCTACGCTCTTGATCATCTTTTATGACATCCGACTCCATGGGAATAAGTTCAATAACGGTGCCTTCCATTTCAATTTCAGTGAATTCGTTGCCTTCTATGTTTGTAGGGTTATCCGAAAAGTCGATTTGGTGAATATTGTCGAACTCTTTAACAGGATTATCACTTATAGCATTTGATTCCGTTACTTGATGTTTTTGTTTCATATGTGTATTATAAGAGCCCAGTCTCGTGTAGCTTTTGTTGCAATCTTTGCATTCGAAAATTTGTTCTTCGATTTCAGTTCCTTCAACAATGAGTGGCGGAACTTTATTTGCTCTGCTGTTATGTAATCGTTTGATATGGGCATAATAAGCTTTTATTCTACCGAAATTTCTCGAGCAGATTGGACATTGAAATACATGAGATTTTATATGATCTTCCAAATCGAACTCAGATGGAAATGTTCTTCCACAATATTTGCATTCATTAGGAATAGGATCCCCTAACCAATTAGTACGTTTTTTACGTAAACGTGGAAAATATTTAAAATATCGACAACTATGGTAGTTTTGAAAATGTTTAAGAAGTTCCGTTCGAGGCATAACAGGTTTTTCTGGGCAGAAATCGCATTGTATTGGTGATTGGGTGTCATGAATAAGCTTTTTGTGTATCCTCAAATCATTAGGCATTTCAAACACCTTTGAGCAGTTTATGCAAATTATATCAGCTATGATAGAAATCAAATATACATATGTGCATATAAATTTTAAACAAAAACTTACATTTGTGTCGATTAGAAATATGCTTTTTTAATTCCTTTTTAGTTGCATAAGAACAGCTGCAATTCTCGCAAGTGTATCTTACTTTATCTGTGTGTTCAGTTATGCATTCCTCTTCTAATTCATCTGTTTCTGATTCATTTGCTTTTATATTTTGTATATTATCGTCATATGATGAATCGGGTATTAATTCGGTAAAATGGTCAACCTCCTCTTCTGATCTGTCTATTTCCATAGATTTTTCATTATTATGTTCTACATCTTGTGACTCTTCCAAAACATCTGTCGATTCTAGTTGTGATTCCTCCAAAACATCCGTCGATTCTAGTAGTGATTCCTCCAAAACATCCGTCGATTCTAGTAGTGATTCCTCCAAAACATCCGTCGATTTTTGGTTTTTTTCTATTGAATGTTGGGATTCCCCAAAACCGTCCGTCGATGTTGTTGTTGTAACACCATACAAATTAGACAGCTGAACCTCTGTCGAGTTTTCATTTTCATGTTTTACATCTTGTGATTCCTCTAAGACCTGGTCGGTCGACTCGTCCTTTACGAAAAGATCTAATTCTGTTCCATGTAAGGCCCTTACAGCTTCTTCAAAATCCATATCCAAAGGATCACCAGTATTTTCCCCTTCTTTCTGTTCAATAGGAGTATAATTTGGCAATAGATAAGAATGTATATATATGTATGTACGTTTATGCAGCATACATATTTACCTCATATGCCAAAGATTCCTCTGTTAAACTATGTACCGATTCAGTCTCCATTTTTAGGGATGCTAAAAGTTTCATGAAATCTTCATGCGATTGGCGAGCACTTTTTCTGAAGTTAAAGCCTATCTGAAGTTTTTGTGCACACATTTTGCAAAGTGTTTTGGGTAAACCATCATTGGCACGTGCGTCTAACTGCGTGCATTCATTGAAGCAATCGTACAGATTTTTGCCATCCTCTGTACACGCGATGCCCATGTCGAGGAGGACTTGGCAATTAGTCTGCATACAAGCACGACACTGCATTTTTGTAGTTCACTTTTAATAAGGAGAATGAAACTTTTTTTTTGTAGCTTTAAGAACTAATTAATAGTCAAAAAAAATAAGTAAATATTATAAATTAATTCATATCGCCAAAATTGGCCAAAATATTTTATTCTTACATGCTAGAGATGGGTAAATTCAATATTCGAAGCATGATAAAAATATAGTAACGTAGAACCGCTGAGAGTCACTTTTAAGATTCTTGACGTTTCCAAACAATTTAATTTTTAAATTTACTCACAAACTCACACACACATTTTCATTTTCAATCTCAAGCAACAACAATTTCGAACAATTTCAATTTTTTATTTTCTCTTTTAAGCGAAGCGCACATTGGCGCGATTCTCTCGTTGCGAATCCGCAAGCCCAAAAATTACAACAATGCTACCCATACATTTTAATGCGCTAGCGCACACTTGCACGATTCCGTCGCTGCGAATTTTTCGAACATTCAATGTTCCTCTCTATTGACGCGTTCGAAACGCGGCTTGCAGCGTTTTGAAGGCGTCAAAGATGAAGAAGAAAGGTGTCACAGCAATAAAGGCAAAGAAAAAAAAACGTGTAAAGTACAAAAACTAATAAAAACGTTCGTAATAATAGTATTTTGTACGATTTGGGCACGCCGAGTGCGAAAATACACGAAATAAAGGGAAAATTGAGTGAATTGTACATCGGAAATCGACGCGAAAAAATCGCTCAAGTGTGCGCACGTTTGCGGATTCGAAGTTAACAGCCGAATTCGCAACGTATTCGCAACGATGGAATCGCGCTAATGTGCGCTTCGCTTTATATGATTTTAAAATGTTGGCAAACTTCAAAAAAAAATCATGGCCGACAAATTGAGAGAACGGTTATACCGTGCTATGTTTTTATCATGATTCGAAGCTTCGATACTCGAATTGTAACTTGCTGTCTAGGGATTGGTAAATTCGATATTCGATGCTTCGATATTCGAATTTGAATCGAATTTTAGCTCCAAAATAGCGAATTTTTGAAATCGAACTTGTGTTGCTAAAATTCGGACAAAATCGAATTTTTCCAGAAAAAATCGAATTTCATCTTTATTTCCAAAAAATCGACTCTTCAAATTTTTTCTTTCTGACTAAATTTGCCATCACTGTGTGGCACTCCATTTGTCTTATGGATTAAAAAAAAAATACATGGTTTTCGATCTGATGCATAAAAACAAAAAATCTGTGCCAAGAAGGAACTGTTATTCCAAACTCAATTTAAATTTTTTTTTATTAAAAAAAAACTAGTTTCTTTGTTGTTTTTTTATTTGAAATTTTTAGAGGCTTTTACTTTAGTAACATTAAGCTTTTGCCTGAGAAGACCCCTAGTAAAATTTTCTGGAGGATAATTCATCAATCCCTAAACGACCTGCCAAATTTGCTTTTTGTGAGATTTCTTGAAGGGTCAAATATGACCGTTTTAGGCGGGGGATAATGGGTTAAAATGTTCTGCGAAAAAATTTCCCAAGAAATTTTTTTTATATATGCCTTAACCTTTAATTTCGCTCAGACATTTATTTTAACTATTTTTTCGACTTTTTGAAAACTACTTATACCATGTTCTGACCGACATCGAAAACATGTTTTCGTTGCTAAAACTGGTTTTCGACCTAAAACTTGTGTTTTCGTCAATGTAAAATCTGTCAAACGAAAACAAGTTTTCGCTGAAAACCACTCGAAAACTCACGTTCCACTCATTCCAATCGGTGTCGTCACTAGTTTTTTTCGATTATTTATCGAAGTGGAAGTCATATTTTATCATCTTTAATACGCCATTTCGGATTTATTGTTAATTGGCTGACGAAAATAAAATAAGCATGGAAGTAAAAGGTTGTTAATGAAAAGAAATTGAAGGAAAAGTATTTTGGTTTTGTATTTGTGCAGCAAAACTGTAAACAAAAGATGTAAGAAATGTCAACGAAAACACCAACAGTCGGTGTGAACGGCCTTCAGCCCACAATCCCAAAACTTGTTTTTAAGGTGTTTTCGTTGTCGGTCAGAACATTGTATTAGGCCCAGATATGAAATCTTTAGTAGGCCATAAAATAAAAATACAAGCTAAATTTTGCAAATCCATCGAGCGTTTTACTACTGGATGGGTAGACATTCAGAAAATGTAAACAAAGTACAGGCTGGTTTCGTTACATCAACAGGCCATTCACTATTCCTTAAAAGCACCAAGTAAATTCAGGCAACATGTAAACACAAAACAGCTGTTATGCACTTTGACACTTTATCCATTTTTACCCGGAGAAAAAGTCCGGGCTGTTTCGGGCAGGAAGAAGACACTTATGCCTGGATTATAAGGGAAGTAACGGAACGGAGTGAACTGTCACTTAATTATCTATTGTATGGGCAATGAATTCAAACGATTTTAAGGCACTTGAACGCAATGTAGCAATGTTGAATCGCCTGGAAAATCGCCTCACGAAAAGGCAGCTAGCTCTCTATTAAGCTGTCTACATGAGGCCATTTTCTAGGCGATTCAACATTGCTATGGAAAAATCGCTCGTGTAAATGGTGATTCAAAAATCGCTTGCCCCAAAGTAGACAGCAAGTCAACTTTTGCAGGCGATTATCGCTTTACCCCTTTTTTTTTAGTACGGGAATGATTTCTGGGCTATTTTGGGCACTCGCGGGATCCGCGTTGCGTACGGGAAAGAGCCTAATGGGCCTCCGCACACTGGACTGCTCAGTCCGCCTAAAACCGGTTTTGTGTGGATAAGAGGGGGAAGAGAGTTCGAGTTTACCTCGCTCATTTCAGTCCGCGAAAATCGCGGATTGACGGTGGACTGACACGCACATATAGACAACTACTCATATTAGACAACTACTCAGCAGTGAGTTAAATTATCTGAGTAATAGCAAATATCTCCGAGCTCGATTAGTAAAAGTTAAGGCGAATTTATACATATGTATATATAAATACGCCTTGGTAAAAGCAAAGCTCTTTTATTTGACACCTCATTTTTGAAAATCGAACGAACAATATTGGAACGCTAGATGTGATGACATGAACCGTGGCGTTAAATATTTAAGTTTCATATATTTATTAAGAAGACGTATGTAAATCATTTCCGTCTTGAAATAAAGGTTCCGACAGACAAAAAAATATAAAAATCCTATATGATTATTATGAGAGGACGTAAATCATTTTCGTCTTGAACTAAACGTCCCGAGACGAAAAAATTTAAAAATAATTATTATAAGAAAAAAATTATATAAAAATAATTATGATACGATATAATTATTATAAGACGATAATAATTTACATCTTAAAATAATCGTCCGCGTGACAAAAGCCAATTTTCTATTGTTCAGTAATAATTATAGAGCAATATTTAACTTTGTTTCTTATAATCGTTATGGTCTCTGTTTAAAACAAATTTCTGTTGCCTCGTCGTCACTGAAGATTCAGTACGCTAATAAGATGCCGTAAATGGTGCTGAAAGCGGACAGAGAAGTGTCACATGCTTATGAGTCCGTTCGTAGCGTTCTGAAGTCAGAAAATTAATCCTAAACGACATTAAAGGGCTGATGGCCTTAATAGGTTATGATCAAGCCTTTTGTACTGCTATTCCAGTTTCTATAGGTAATACCAATAATGGGTGTTTACTATTAAGTTCGGATTATTAAATTTATAAACACGAAACATCGATCACATCCGTATATTATGCATTTTAAATTAGTTTTTATTCTATAATATATTTTAATTATCTATCTTTTTATGTCTTAACTATAGCAAAAAGTTGAGTAATAACGAAGATATTGGTCAAAATAAAAAACTCACGCTCACGCGCGCATTGAACTGTATATCAGGCTTAAGTAGCAATGACATGCTAAAACAGTACGTTTGAGATGGAATGACATGGCACAACACCTTGTTTGTGTTGAAATGACATAGCAATGCAAGAAATTTTTGAAAACGACAATTCTACAGAAAATGTTGAATTTTGCAGTACTTTAATTGTAATGCCAAATATGCACAACATTTCATTTGATATTTTGCGGAAGTTACCTTTTTCTAGGGTGGTTTAGAAATAAAGGAGACTGATGCTTTCTTGTTTTAGATTTACGAACTGGATCTTTATATATATATTTAGATTATAAATTCTCGCAGTCAATTGATTCCATTACGTCTGTCGGTTGCAAAAGTTCATTTACCACTTCTAATTCTTCAGCTAGTTTTACGCGCGGAGAACGACCAGTATTCGCTTTGAACATTGCAAATAACTCAGGCTCCGTCATAGTTATGCTGTGTTTGTGTACCATATGTTTTACAAAACTGTATAAAAGAAAAAGATAAAATTCAAATACATAAAAGTCAAGTTTTTTCGAGTAGACTTACTCTTCACGCTTTGGATTACCGTAANTTTTTTAATATGAATATGAAGGTATTATTTTAAAATGTTTAGTGTTCAAGTTTTTATTTTTTTACTTACGACAAAATGCACATAAATATCTCGCCTTTTCTTTTACATTCGAACATTTTATCTTTTCAGGAGATTCTTGTTCCTCTTGATTATTTGCTGTATCTTGGTTTTTCTCAGAATCCATTTCATAAGATTCACCCTTGTGGTATTTCTTTTTACTTGTCCTGGGCATAATGACTCCACTTTTCTTGTACTCGTTTCTTTGCTTTTTTATCTCTTGCTTTGCTTCTGTAACGGTTATGTTATGCTTACAATTAAGATGTTTTCTAAACGATGAAGAATTTCCATAGCTTTTTTTACAGATTGAGCATACTAATATAACGTGCATGTTTTGGACATGGTCTTCTAATTCAGAAGTAGAAGAATAGTTGCTTCTACAATATCGGCATTTATAGCAAGTAGGTGGAAAGTACTTATAGTATTGACTTTTGTGTTTGCTTAGCAAATGCTTAACTAGTGCATCTCTATGTATTAACGTAGTTTCTTTGCAGTAATCGCAAACCATTGGTGAGTCGGTGTCATGCACCAGCTTTTTGTGTGTTCTTAATTCGTGAGGCATATCAAAGGTCTTCGAGCAATCCACGCACATAACTTCAGCTGTGATGAAAGAAAATATTATTATAATTAAAAATATTG